CCCTTACCCCTCCCTCCCCTGGCGCCCTCCCTCAAAAACCCTTGATAAGTTATAGATTTTTCCCATATCTTACATTGTCCTCTGTCACCTCTCACCCACTTTTCCGTTATTTTTCCCCCTGGGAGGGGGTTCTAGGTTGATCCTTGTGATCGATTCCCCCTTTCTCCTCCCACCCTCCCTTAATCCTCCTGGTATCTCTACTCTCCTTGTTGGCCCTGAAGAGGTTATTTATCCAGGATTCCCTGTGTTGTAGGCTCTTATCTGTAGCAGTGTGCATGTTCTGGTCTAATCCTATTTGTAAGGTAGAATTGAGGTCATGATAGTGGGGTGAAGGAAGCACCAAAGAGCTAGAGGAAAGCTGTGTGCTATACTGCACCCTGACTGGCTCATCTCTTCCCTGTGACCCCTATGTGAGGGGATGTCCAATTGTCTACAGATGGGCATTGAGTCTGCACTCCATGCCCCCCACCAATTAACATTGTGTATGATTTTATTCTGGGTCTTATATGCCTGATACCTGATCCCATAGGCACCTCATGATCACACAGGCTGGTGTGCTTCTTTCATGTGGGCTTTGTTGCTTCTCAGCTAAATGACCACTTGTTTATCTTCAAGCCTTTAAGACCCCATATGCTATATCTTTTGATAGCCGGACACCATCAGGTTTCTTCACCACATTTTCTTATGCACCCATTTTGCCCTCAGCAATCATGCCAGGAAGTTGAGCATCACAGAATGTCTGATTATTAGAAGAAAGTGTTCTTGTGTTAAGGGACTTGAGGCCCAATGTCCATCTGCAACCTCAATTCTTAACATATAGGTATGAGTGCATTGTTTTATTCCCCTCTCAATATATATATATATATATATATATATATATATATATATACATTTACATATGTACATGCCTGTTGTTAGGCCTCTATAAATGCACTTTCCCTCCTGGTTCTTTCCTCTATTTCCTTTTTACATTGTCCTTGCCGCACAGGAAGTATGGAGGAAATACGCTAAGTGAAGAACGTCAAGCACAAAAGGGCAAGTGCAACATGAGTCCGCTGAGGTAAGCTTAAAAAAAAAAAATGGGGCACAGGGGAAAAGCTACTATATACATACGTCCCAGCAACTATGGCAGGGGTCAGACCCAATCCAGGGATACATACCGAAGCCAACTAAATAAGAGGGGGAAAGAAAGAGAAAAAAATACATGAGTAGAGGGGGAGCAGGGCACTAATCCATGCAAGGATAGGGTATTGTTTTTATCTGCACAGGTGAAGGAATGAGAGACCAGGAGAAGGAGTGAGAGACCAGATTTCAACCCGATGCACCAAGATGTGAAAACAATATACCGGCATGTGCCAGGGAACCAATAGAGAGGTCTCCGGGGCCGGCCCTAATCCCAACTATGTGGACACCCCCCTTCCCACCTTAGAAGAATGCACTTCAGAGGCAGCACTGGGGCTACAGCTTGGGGAGAAGGTCCTGTGGTATTAGAGCACACGGGAAACATGCAAAGAGATGGAGAGGGAGAAGAGGACATCCTGGCCTACCAAGCCCCAAGGACAATGGTCCTGCTCAGAGCAGACAACGCACAGGGAAGACCATAGAGCTGGCCCCACCGTGGGTCACGGCATCCCGCACTGAACTATGATGCTGTGGGGGACAGCACTGGAGACACAGTGCGGGAATAGTGCACAGTCTGGCCCCATCACGCTGGGGTGAAGAACTGAGGACATGCAGCAGAGCAACACGGGGAGCAGACTGAAGAAACCCCTGGGGAAAACCAAAAATAGACTTGGGAGACAGTGTGGCACCCCATCAGACTCGACTGAAAAACACCGGTAAAGGCCAACAAACAGACCTTGAACTATTGACAGACTTTTCCATTTTTATCAGTGGCTTTCTTTTTATTATTGTTATTTTGTAATTCCTTTCTGATGTTGTTATTGCTTTGTTGGTTTTGACTTCCTTCATTGTTTTATTTGACTTTGCCTGTTTTTTGCACTTATTAATGTATCTCCATGTCTATCTAGATAAGATAGGTGGGATAAATAATTCAGGGATGAAAAGAACGGGACCAGTGGTTCTGGGGGGATACAGGAGAAGGGGAGGTGGGGGAAAGGATTAAGGGGGAGTGGGGAACCAACCCAGGGACATGGGAACAACAAGTGAACTAAAATCAATGGAAGGAAGGTCGTAAGATGCCTAGTGGGGCTCAATCAAGGGCAATGTAGCTGTGATTTTTATTCTTATTTTATTTACTTTTTTCTGTTTCGTTTCCACTTTAGATTTTTTCTGACATGTTTCCCAATTTATGAAACACAGAAGGATTGTATGCATAGAGACGATAACTGATGTAACTGTTTATCAGGGATTGGGGGGAGGTTGAGAGGATTTGGGGAGCAACTAATGAATGCAGGAGTGTGCACTAGAAAGGATTGTGATGATGCCTGTACAACTCTCTTTAAAAGTAACTTAATTATGGAACTAGATGAAATGAAAATTTTATAACAATAAAGTTATTTGAAAAATACACCTGTATTATGGTAATGTATGCATATAAATTATCACGCAATAAAATCGTTGAAAAAAATAGAATGTAAAAGCAGAGCTGCCAATCAGGTACACTTGAAAGGAATTTCCTCAGGGGTGGTTCCTGCTTCCAATATAAGTGGATGTTGTACAAAATCATGTTTGCTTTTTGCAGGGTTTTGATCATGCATCTGGCTCATTGACCTCTGGCTCTTTGGAGCTGAGCAGTAGCTTGCCATATTGGAGCTTGGGAGCCATCAGCAGCCTGCCATATGACCTTCGGCCCTTGAATTCAACTACCTCTCCAGCTACCAACCTGTGGTTTTATGGCTGATGTTGAGTTTATCAGCTCTAGAAGCATGCATGTTAGGAGAAGCCTCTGGTCTAGCTTAATATTTGACCCTTGAACCTGGAATCTACATGGATTTGGACTTAATCTGGAAGAGGCATTGAAATCTGTTGTCCTTGGGTGACCCTGCTGGTATTTGAAATATCACTGACATAGTTTCCAGCATCAGAGCAATGCACAAGCCACCACGGTACAACAAACTGACCAAAAAGTGTAGCTACCCTACAGAGACATTAAAGAAACGGTCAGGATTATATTGTAAGATCCCTAATTTATAAGTCTCTGTCCTCTAGACTTGTCCTGATTAATATGGAAGCCATTAACCATATGCTACTATTTTTTACATTTAAAAAATGAAATTTAAAAGTTAATTTCTTCAGTCTACAAGACAATTTCAAGTGTTCAATAGTCACTCATATCTCAGTAGGTAGTAATTACTGTTTAAAAAGTGTAGAACATGTTCATCATCACAGAAAGTTCTATTGGACAGTATTGCTCTAGACTACGCTGTATTTCTCAATGAAGCACAAAACAGCACATGCACAGAAAGACCAATACAAAAAGTAAATGTTAAAATCTGGTCAAGTTTAATGCATTCAAGCATGAGAATGGGAGTGAGTTGCCCATCATAAACTATTCAAATGTTATTGAATAGCAGAAATACTATAAGCAACTATAGTTGACTGTAAGTTTTTACTAATAAATATAAAAATATTCATTCTGAAATTCTAATTTATTATAGAGAATAGTAACTTATTATTTGATTTTACCAATACTTTGTGCTACACTTTCAAAATAAACACAATTACTAAAGAGGTATTCAATTTAAAATGTCGATGCAAAATTAAGTCATATTCATTTGTCAATACTTTGAACAAGAAGTAAACTTTATTCCATATCCCAAATAACAATGTAAATATAACCCAAAGTTAAAAATCCCAACCTACTAAGAAGTATTGTAGACAAAGAAAGAAAATATATATTTACTTTGATCCTCTAAAACTAAGATTCATATGAAGCAATTACAAAATTAAATGATTAAAGAGAGCACAACTATCCCTTATTGGGCCTTAGGGAAATGATGCCAGAACAAAGGGGTCACAAATTCTGTTTTGCAGGCTCAGACTTTGAATCTATAATAACTGAAAAATTTTACTTCATAGATAAAAACCATAATGTACGACCAGAAATTTGACAGATGTACATAAAGGGACATGTCTCTTGTAACAGACTATCTTGGGTGTCAATTCCGTTTTTTTAATATTGGGCTTCAAGTATGTAAGTGCTCCCTTCAATTGGCATAGCTTACAATATTAAGTGTTATATCCTACCATGTTCCACTCAGCATTCTTAAAAACACTTCAAATGAGACTATTCTCCCTTACAAGGACCAGTTTTTAATTGATTGGATGGTTGTACCAATCTGAGATTTCTCCCAAATGGTAAAGGCCTTAACTGATCTATCTTTGGGGTCTCACAGTACACAGACATCTTGGAATGGATATTATTGATGTGCTCAGTCAGATCAATCACAGCTGAAAGCAGAGACTATCCAAAAAACATTTACATGTGTTTCATTGACTCTACATAGGCATTCAACTCTGTAGACCCTAACAACCTATTGATAACATTGGGAAGAATGGTACTTCCAGAACACTTCATTGTGCTCCTGCAGAATCTGTGCACAGACCAAGAGGCAGCGGTTCAAACAGAACAAGGTGATACTGCATGGTTTAGAAGCAGGGAAGATGTGCATCAGCGTTATATCTTTTCATGATACTTATTTAACCCGTATCCTGAGTAAGTTATTCAAGAACCTGAACTCTATGAAGAAGAATGTGAACTCAGGCCTGGAGAAAGGTTTATTAAGAACCTGTGACATGTACATGGTACAACCTTGCTTGCTGAATTTGAAGCAGATTTGAAGCACTTTATGAAAATAAAATTTTATAACCTTCAGAATGGATTACAACTCCATTTGGTAAAGTAAACCAAAATCCTCACAAATGAACCAATACACAATAACATGATGGATGGGGAAAAGCTTAAAGTTTTCAAGGATTTCATATTATTTGGATGCATAACCAATGTTCATGAAAGCAGAAATCAAGAAATTAAATTAGTGCTTACTTCAGTGGCTGGCACATATACTTAAATTGGAACGATACAGTGAAAATTAGCATGACCCCCGTGCAAGGATGACACGCAAATTCATGAAGTGTTGTGTAATTTTAAGAGCCCACAACACAGGGAATCCAGGACAGATAAACTCCTCAAGACCAATAATGAGAATAGAGATAGATACCAGGAGGGGAAGGAGAAGGTGGAGGGAGAAATGGGGAATCAATCACAAGGATCAATAGTTAACCCCCTCCCAGGGGGACGAACAACAGAAAACTGGGTGAAGGGGAAGAGCGGATGATGTAAGATATGAAAATAATAATTTATAGTCTATCAAGGATTCATGAGGGAGGGAGGGAGGGAAAAATAAGGAGCTGATATTAAGGGCTCAAGTAGAAAGAAAATGCTTTGAAAATGATGATGGCAACATATGTACAAATGTGATTGACACAATGGATGAATGTATGTATTACGATGAGAGCTGTAAGAGCCTCCAATAAAAGTATTTAATTTTAAAAAGAAATTTATTCATTAAATCTGATACAAAGACCTCTTTAAAAAGTTTAAAGAACCAAGATGTCACTTTGATAACTAAGCTGCATTTCACCCAAAACATGACATTTTCTTTCTTTTTTTTTTTTTAATTTTTTTAACATTTTATTAGGGGCTCATACAACAACTGTTATCCCAATCCATACACACATCAATTGTGTAAAGCGCATTTGTACATCGTTTCTCAAAACATTTTCTCTCCACTTAAACCCCCGACATTAGGTCCTCATTTTCCCCTCCCTCCCCGCTCCCCCCTCCCTCATGAGCCCTTGATAGTTTATAAATGGGTATTTTGTCATATCTTGCCCTGTCCGACGTCTCCCTTCACCCACTTTTCGGTTGTCTGTCCCCTAGGGAGGAGGTCACACACAGTTCCATGTAATCGGTTCCCTCTTTCCTACCCATTCTCCCTTTACCCTCCCTGTTTTGCCACTCACACCACTGGTCCAATAGGGCTCATCCGTCCTGGATTCCCTGTATTTTCAGTTCCTATCTGTACCAGTGTACCTCCTCTGGTCTAGCCAGACTTGCAAGATCGAATTTGAGTCATAGCATCATATGCGTGTGGAAGCTGAACAATACATAAGGAAGACAGGAGAAGAATGTATGCATTTGAATCATGCTGTTGGTTATGAATATTGAAAGTACCATACACTGTCAGAACAAACAAATCTGCTTTGTTCCTAGGAAGGAGGGTTTCTTGTTCCTTGTGCCATCATGTTCCTAGGAAGAGAGGACACCGAGACTTTGCCTCAAAAGTTTTGGGCCTGTTATACAGAGAAACCCGTCTCTGGAAAATGGTATCATGGTACCAACAACAAAGTAAAGGGTCAGCGAAAAAGAGGAGGAGTCTCAATGCAATAGATTGACACATTGGCTGCAATGAAGGGCTCAAGTAGCAATTGTAAGGATGGCACAGGACTCAAAAAAGAAAAAGCAAATTCACTGCAATTGAGTCAATAACCACACAGCGACCAGATAGAAGGAAGTGGAACTGCCCCTGTGGGTTTCCGAGAGCGTAGCTCTTAGGAGAGTGGAAACCCTCATTTTTCTCCCTGGAAGCAGCTTTGAACGGGAACTAGCACCACTTTTATTTAATATTCTGGACGTTTTAGCTAGAGTCATAAGACATCAAAAAGAAATTAAAGGTGTTTGCACAGGCACAAAATAAATATTTTTTTATTTGCAGACAACAAAATCTTATATGTAGAAAACCCCAACGATTCAGTTAAACAATCGCTTCAACTAATTGGTTAAGTTGTGCTCATGCAGAACCTGAGTATGGATCAAGAGGCAGCTGTGTGAACAGGACAAGGGGATACTGCAGGTTTTACAATCAAGAAAGGTGTGTGTCAGGTTGTATCCTTTCCTCCAATGTATTCATTCTGTGTGCTGAGAAAATAGTCCAAGAAGCTGGACTATTTAAACTCAGCATCAGCTTTAGGCTTATGACCAACCTTCGATATGACACATTCTTGCTTGCTGAAATCAAGAAGGATCTGGAGCGCTCATTGATGAAGACCAAGGTTTTGAAAAAGACAAAGAAGAAAATAGATGGACACAGTGTCTTTAACAGTGGGCTCAAACAACAATGATTGTGAGGAAGGCACAGTATCAGGCAGTGTTTTGTTCACTATGGATTAGAATTGACGGCACCTAGCAACTGAAACCCAAAGTTGGTGGTTTGAACCCACCATGGAAAAAAGAGGAGGCTATCTGCTCCCGGAAAGAGTTGTGGTCTTGGAACCTCCAGATAGGGTCACTTTGAGTGGGTTTAGACAATGTTGCAATGGGAACCTACAGAAAGAATCATGAGGTTTCAATGATATGGTATGTCCTTTAGAAACTGAAATACAATAAGTATTTAATAAACACTTGCTTCTTTGGTTAATGGCTACACCAACACTGTGAGATATGCCCTCCTAGTAGCATGAAGCTTGAAATTAGCATTGATAGATTAAGGGTTTTTGTATTCAGTTTTGCCCTCCATGTTACTTTGCCTCACTCTTTCTTGCCCTTCAAACCCCAGAAAGCAAACTAACAGCTATTAAATTGATTCTGACTTACAGACCCCATATAGGGTTTCTGAAAGTGTAAATCTTTATGGAAGAGAGCTTCTTCTGTGAGAAGCTGACAGGTTTGCACCTCACACCTTGCAGTTAAACACTAATGTCTAGCCCATAATGCTACCAGGGCTCCTTTTTTTGTCCTTCAGCCTCCTTTACAATCATGGAAATGCTTCATCGACCCTCTTTCCTCATTCGTCATTCGAATGAACTTGCAGTTTTGCAAATATGGCTTGTTCTCCGGGAAGGAGCCCAGGTTCTTCCCTCGGCTAGGAATACTCCTCACCTTGCTTCTCACTCATCCTTTTGGCCTTTCTTCACGAAGTACTTCATAAGTCCCTAAAGTAGTTTCGATGGCCCTTTTATGTGTTCCCATATGTCCTCTACTCTACTGTTAATCACTCTAGTTTGTTTGGTTTCCCTGTATATTGTAAATGCTGTTACTGCTGCTATGATATCTGCCTTCATCACCATGATAATATCTCACTGACGGTCTTCTTTAGAAGGCTTTGAAGGGCACCTTGCTCACTTTTCAAGTTTATAGATCTGAACTTGTTTAATTGTGAAACATTGGCTTCCTAATGGCCTCAACTGCGACTTTTCTCTCAGATGCATCATACAAGCCAGTGCAGTTTTTATAAACCCCATTGTTCTCAAACTGAGAAAATATTCGTAGTGAGCTAAGTAGTCTGATTATGACAATCTGAAAGGAAGCCATACAGCCATAATGAAAAGAACACTGAGTTGGGCGGGCAGCAATTGTGAATTCAACCTATTAATCAAGTCCTCGTAGTTAATTCTCATTGCCTCCCTGAGGCTCCGTGTCCTTATATTTAAAAAGGAAGAACGACACAAGTCATAATTATTTCATGCAGCTGTTAAAAGGATGCAATGACAAATGAGATGCACAAGAAACCGAAAAAGCATACTTTTATAATGCCAAGGAAACGTGATGAAAAAAACCCACACACTTATCTAGAACTTAGAAACCTTGCAATATATGGGGAAAAAATCTACTGTATTCTGTGGTAAATTTCCATGGCATAAAGCAATTCCATGATTAAAATTACACTGAAAAGTATTGATCATGTTTTCTCCTTTTTATAATTTATGTTACAGTACATTTTAAAATGAAATATAGATATGAAAATATTTCTGAATCTTACATTATTATAGCTCATATGAATAAAAATGATACCTATGGAAATCTCTCTGCTATATAGTTTAAAATTTAGTCATTTCAAATACAATAATAAAAAATAGATCCTGATTTGAAATCTTGAATATTTAAGCTCAAAATTATTCATAAAATGTACTGTCTACTTTTCAGCCTTTAAATTAAAGTGCCTGTTTGAAAACTATTTTAAAATATGTCTTTCAATACTGTTGAAAGCATGCTTTCTATGAGGCTGGCTTTTTCATATCTTCCTAAAAATCTACATTTCCTCCTAAGTCAAAAAGTAGACAGACTTCCAGCCCACAGACCATTTACTTTCATTTTTATAGAACCCTAAGCTCTTCAAATTTCTAGTATATTTTTATGTGCAGAATTATGATTCCACTCTTACTAGTGTCATTAATTTCCATTGGAAAATAGCCAGTTCTAATTTTTACCCAGAATCTAACTACCTGATGCACAGAGAAATTGGCATTTCTTAAAGCTGAGCTTTCCTAGATTTAATTTCATGCATCCTTGACACCAACTCAAATAGCATCCAGATTCTGAATGAGGCTTGAAATATGTACAAAAATATTTCCACATTTTCTGTTTACGTAAAAAATATGCAATATCTGTAGGACCCAGATATTTTCAGAGAAATCAAGCTCAAAAAGTCTTTCAGCAATTTTTTTCACCTTAATATATATCATACCCTTTTATGAACAAAGAAGTACACATTCGCTCCAAGGAATTAAGTTTTGGATAGAACTGTCTATTTTAATAAGTCAAATTAAAAATTACCTCTGAAATGTGATATAAAATGTGATATAAATGTGATTATAAAAATCATGAATAAAACCCCTTGACTCTAAGTCTTTCTCAAATTAGACTTAACATTTCATTAAATATTCGTACTACTAAATGCTATATTTTTTTCAACCTTATCTCTAGGCACTAAGCACCTTGCTCTCTCTGTTCCAATGGGGACAGCTTCTTTGTCCTCTTCACTAGCCAAGATTAACTATGAGATGTTTCTGTGTAACATTTCCACTGTCATTTCTGCTTCCTTGTCTGGCAAAGCCATCAGGTTTCTTATTCCTTTGGGATGATCCAGAGACAAAATGTAGGAAACAACTAGAAGTTTAACTCAAAGGAGTTTAGCCTAGTTTAAAAAACAGAATTTGCTGCAATACATAAACTTGACAAGTTTGAACTTTAGGACTATAGACAACACAGGACAATACAAATAGAATCACTTTGAATTTATGGGCAAAAGGTATAACTGGGTCTAACTGTAACTATACTTGAATGGGAGGTAGGGAGATCATGAAGTAA